TAACTGTCAACACTGGTCAAGAGTTTTAGTAGATATCGTAAGTAAATACGTGTGTGTGTGTGTAAATGTGTGCATAAGTTTCGCATGCAACAAAATAAAAAGTCTTTTCAGCTACCTTCTCATCGTAATTCCCTCCCAATGACTTAGAATTTTCTACGTTTGCTTGGACTTTGCCTTGATTTATTAGCACTTTAAAGTTGACTGTTCCAGTAAAAGTTAGATGCACACATGATACTATTATAAATGAAGATAGGGTTTTTTCTTTTTGGCAAACTGAAGATAGGGTTTAGGGGGAAAAAAACACTGTAATGTCGTTTATCATGCCTTGAAGAAAGTTACAAAAAACATCGTTCTCCTAATATTATTTTAAAAAGAAAAATAAAAATAAAAGAAAGAGAAATGGATAGGTGAATTACCAACCCCACTGGAGAGATATGAGCAGCGACACACACGAATCAGCCGATAAGCCGAGCCGAGCCGAATTAGTATAGTAGAGAGACTCGCGATACCAGCAACTACAACTTGTTTGGGAAACCGGCACCTCCCGGTTGCTACATTTAATCACCTAATTAATTCAGAGATTCGCCCGATTACAAACTTTTAATAATACCTGTGCCGATTATGATAACTTTTAGTAGTAGTAGTTTCTAGTCATAGTTAATTGCTTGCGGTGAAGATTATATCTTTAGTTACATGAGTTTCATTTATTAGATCAAAATTCATTGGATACTTTTTTAAAAATAAATATCTTATAACAATTTAATTAATTCACTAACAACAATCTTGTTATAAATATCTTATAACAAGATTTTGTGAGGCACTATCAAAAATGGTTTTTTGAAAGATTAACTTCATAGAATTTTGGAAAGATAAACTATTTATCTCTTGCAAACTTTTTGTAACTGTATTATGAATGGACACACATAACTGAAAATTGACTTAATATCGTTAATGATAGCATTGTGTATATATACTTACTAGTAATTCAAAAGTTTACAATATTTTAAGATGAATATTTTTTTTTAAGAAACTTAACTGTACGTTGGAAGATACATGATTAAAAATATATATACATTAGATACTTTTTAAAGAATTGATACTTTCAGAACTATATACTATGTGTGAGAGGAAAAAAAATAGAGGTAGGTTAAAAAATAAAATGGAGGTAGGTTATATCCTTTACCAAACAAACATACATCTAAATGATCCAAACCGTTTATAGAAATATCCAATGGGGTCAGAATTTTTTCTTAACAACATGTAAGAATAAGAATATCTCTCACCTAACAAAAACATAACACGAAAGTTTATGTTCCACATTTTTCTTGGCAACATCTTATATTAGTCTCTTTTCTTCCAACCACCGGTCTACCATATCATAGAAGAAATGACACGGTTCATGGCATAAAATATAATTTTTTCTTTCATTTATTCATCAAATTGTTTAAATTTTTTGTTTCAATGTAAAATACGTTTGTTTGTTCTAAGTTAAGTTATATGTGCCTATATAAACAAAAAGTTCCTAAACATACATACTTTCCTTAATTTTATCAACTTATTATTCCTTCAAATATTACATAATATTTTTTTTTGTTCGTGATTACCATAATAAGATCATGTACATGCAGTACTAATAATAATCAGCGTGATGAGGTGAGATTTACTATTTCATGGTAAAGGAAAATAAATTAATTTGATTCACTTTCCAATAAGATTATTTAAAGCATTAGGCCAAAAACAAAAAGAGAATAAATAAATATGTAGCCGAATAAGCCGATGAGAATGTATTAAAGTCACCAATAGTCCAAAGAGCTATAAAACCTATAGATCCGGTGGACAAGTCAACAGTGCCGTTAATCCCTATAAATAGCCCACCTCCTTCTCAGCCACAAATCGTCCCCGACTCGTTTTCTTCTTTACTTCGCTATAAGATTTGCTTTTGGAAGGCTTTTGAGATCTGTTTCCTCCGAGATCTGTTATCTCTCCTTCGATCCAGGTTCCGCTCTTCTTCTCCTTCTCCCTCTCTGTTTCTATTATCGATTCATTTTTGTCGATTTCACGGGTTTGGGTCGTATGCTTCGTTAAATCTGCTGTGAAATGAGGTTTTTCGATGGTTTACGACTCAGATTTGATAGTTTTTCGAACTGTTTATGCGTTGTTTGTCATTGGATCTGAGCTAGTGTGGCTAAACGAAATGAGATTCTGAAGTTTTTTTTGGTTAGGTTTTTGACTCTTAAATCTTTGAGTGGTTCGTTTGAGTGATGCCCCCAGATTTAGGTATTTTGATTTTGAAATGTATCTGGATCTGTTCGTTTTCGAGTACTGTAGTGTCTTATCTTACTTCACTTGTTTCATTTTATTGAGTTTCGAACTTGATTCAGCTTTCATTTTAGCGGATCTGTTATAATGGGTTTATCAGTTTTGCTTAGATTTGGATTTTCGCATCGATCGTGTGTTTGTGTGATTAGACATTTGGGTTTACATGCTTTGTATTTAAGTCTGAGTCATAAATGAGTTTTACCTGGTTAATCATTTGTCCATGAACTGTTAAGATTGAAGTTCCTTAATGCAAATTTAGACTTTTCCTGTTAATTCTTGTACAGATCTCCATTACTTTACAATTGCTACTGTCTCACAACCCACTTGGGGCATCTATGTTTATCAGAATAAACGAATCTTTTTAGATAAGATGCATATGTTTTAAGCTGTTCGACAATGATTTGGAATATTTTTATCTTTATGTCACTTTGAGTGTGGAATCTTTCTTTTGTTTCTTTTTTTTTTTTATTTTTAAAATGCTTTCATGATATGTTGAGACTGTCTTTCTAGCTATGATCTATGAGGTTGCTGACTCAAATCTTTCTTTTGTTTTTATAGCTTTTGAAAAATGGAGACTTTCCTATTCACATCCGAGTCTGTGAACGAAGGACACCCAGACAAGCTTTGCGACCAGATCTCTGATGCAGTTCTCGATGCCTGCCTTGAGCAAGACCCTGACAGCAAAGTTGCTTGTGAGACATGCACCAAGACCAACATGGTCATGGTCTTCGGTGAGATCACAACCAAGGCTACAGTTGACTACGAGAAGATCGTCCGTGACACTTGCCGCGCCATTGGTTTCATCTCTGATGATGTTGGTCTCGATGCAGACAAATGCAAAGTCCTTGTCAACATCGAACAACAGAGCCCAGACATTGCTCAAGGTGTTCACGGTCACTTCACCAAACGTCCAGAAGACATTGGAGCTGGAGACCAAGGACACATGTTTGGTTATGCCACTGATGAAACCCCTGAGCTCATGCCTCTGAGCCATGTCCTTGCAACCAAGATCGGTGCTCGTCTCACAGAAGTCAGAAAGAATGGAACTTGCCGTTGGTTAAGACCAGATGGCAAGACCCAAGTCACTGTTGAGTACTACAACGACAATGGTGCCATGGTTCCAGTCCGTGTCCACACCGTCCTGATCTCAACCCAGCATGATGAAACCGTGACCAATGACGAAATCGCCCGTGACCTCAAGGAACACGTGATCAAACCAATCATCCCAGAGAAGTACCTTGACGACAAAACCATCTTCCACCTCAACCCATCAGGCAGGTTTGTCATCGGTGGACCACATGGTGACGCCGGTTTGACTGGACGTAAGATCATCATCGACACTTACGGTGGATGGGGAGCTCACGGAGGAGGTGCTTTCTCAGGCAAAGACCCAACCAAAGTGGACAGAAGTGGAGCTTACATCGTGAGGCAGGCAGCAAAGAGTGTGGTGGCAAATGGAATGGCTCGTAGGGCTCTTGTCCAGGTCTCATACGCCATTGGAGTCCCTGAGCCATTGTCTGTCTTCGTTGACACCTACGGAACAGGGTTGATTCCAGACAAGGAGATATTGAAGATCGTGAAAGAGAGCTTCGACTTCAGACCAGGAATGATGACCATTAACTTGGACTTGAAGAGAGGAGGAAACGGAAGGTTTTTGAAGACGGCGGCGTACGGACATTTTGGAAGGGACGACCCTGATTTCACTTGGGAGGTCGTGAAGCCACTCAAGTGGGACAAACCCCAAGCTTGATGATATCATTGTTTATGATATTAAATTTTCTATGTTTCTTCTATCTTTTTACGTTAAACATCTATCGTGGACCAATAATTAATCCCTCCGTTTCTCTTTTTTGGTTCTGTTCTTGTATTCTTGAAATGAAAGCTTTTAGTTCGTTTACACTATTAATTTTGGTATTTTTGTGATGTCTTATATAAACTTGTAGTGGTTGTGAATCTCGTGATAAAGTGTATGTTTATTGAAGGTAGAAAACTATATACAGTCAGAAATACGAAACTACACGTATTATTTTTTGAGTACAACACGAAACTAAATAATCATTTTCAACAACACAATGACACTGCTAAATGACTTTTATAAAGAAGGCTACAGATCGTACGTTTGATCGATTCAAAGTTAGAATGGATATAATAGATGTGGAACCCAATTACATTGCATTGACAAGATTCTTTATTTTCGGTTCATACCATACGAGACTTTTTTCAAAACTAATGAAAAAACATTTCATAGCGTTACAACTTAACACAGTTGTACTGTGTTTTATCTATGTAGTCATTGTCCGGATAGTGTGTCATTGAACAACTCTCTCAACTTGTTTACTTTTAATGTTAAACATTGATTATGGAGAACCATAAACAAAAGCTGTGATTAACTGATCTTTCTGCTGAACTTTGTGCATGGATTATGATTGGGAGATTTGGTCAATCGGCCTTTCTACTAAATCAAGAGACAAAAAGCGTCAGCCTTTTTGGAGTCTTTTCCCCACTCAATGATCTCCCAACTGAAAGATTAGTTTCTTCTTATCATTCTTAATTATCTATCTCTCACCAAATTCAAATGCTTGTCTCACTCAGTAGTCCTTTTGTTCATTACCAATCCAACAAAACCGAAGCTTTTATATAATAATAAGATATCCCAATATACATTTGATAAGAGCTAAACCTTTGTTCGAATATCTTTGGACAATGGTTTTTATACATAGCCAAAGAAAAGGAAAAAAAACATATACATATTATCTCTTATAAATTGGGAGATAATTCACTGTATGAATCATTTTTATGCTAAATATATTCAATTATTTTTCTTAAAAATGTGGAAAAAAAAAATCAAAGATAATTGTACAAAGGAAAGACTAAAAAAGGTAGAGACAGAGAATGTTCTTTTGTCACAAAGGACCCCCCAAAAGATCAGGCAATGTGATTTTCCCCAAATTATTGGGATCAAGCTTATCGAACTGAATCACAACTTGGTTTATATCTTTATCAGTGATCTTCCCCATCTCCTTAAGCTTCAACACTATATACTCTGATTTACTGATAAAACAACCAAAACCAAATCCAAAACATAAAGGGTCAGAGAACTCTGAATACTAATCACTTTACTAAACTCATTGGATAAGATGAAACTGTGGCTTACAAGAAAAAGTCTAAGATTAACATGATTACTCTAAAGTTTTTAACAAAAACACACACATAATCCAAAGAAATTGCAGAAACCCATTATTAGAAACAGCTCAAAACCACTATCAAGTCTTAGCCAAATGTTTCAAAACTAACAAAAATTGAACCTTTTACCAAAAAAAAATCTAACAAAGATTGAACCTTTTTTTGTATTAAAAAAAAGAAGCAAAGTTGAGATTTTTGTAAAACCTGATGAAACCATGTTGATAAGTATCAGCAGAGAGCAAATCCTCAACAGTGATTTCTCTATTCAAAGCCAATTTAACAGCTTTCCTATGCCGCCGATCGATCCTCGCCTCGGCAAGATACAAAAACGCACGCGCCACCGCGAGAGTGGAGACAAGAAGCCAAACCGCCGCGAAAAGCCTCCCTTGAAGCGTCTTAAAAGCCCGATCACCGTAACCAACGGTGGTTACCGACATAACCGACAAGTAAACCGAATCAACGAAATCCAAATCCTCAACGAAATGCAAAACCAAGGCACCAACTCCAATACACAAAACGACGACGCATAGCGCTAAACCAACCTTCATCCTTATCCTCATCCTCCCTTTCTCGAAATCAATGATGTAATCTTTAGCTGAGAACCTGTGGTGGTGGTGGTGCTGGTTCGTCTGGATCCCGGTGAGGATCATACTCTCCTGAAGATCCAAGACGTAGTTAACAACGCCGCTGAGGAGTATATCCAAGAACCCGAATCCGAAGAGAACGAAAACAACGGCGAAGATCTTGGTCCAGGGAGTCAACGGAGCGATGTCACCGTAGCCGATGGTGCACATAGTGACGATACAGAAGTAGAGAGCGTCGACGACGGGGTGGGTTTCGATACCGGAGTAATGGTCTCTGTTGAAGGAGTAGATTGAAACCCCTAAGGTTAAGTAGATGATAAGCAAGAAGAAGGCTTGTTTGATTATGGATTTCGAGATTGGTGTTGGCTTTTTCGTTTCTTGGGTTTTGGGTCTTAAGTCTTTGATGATTACCATAGCTGGAGCTGTACGACATCTGTGAAGTGGTCGTGGGTTTGTGAAATACGGATCTTCTTCTTCTTCGTCGTCGTCGTCGTCGTCGTCTTGTACGGATTCTTCGAGATGAAGATGAGAAATCTCGTGGAAGAAGGAAGTGTTGGAGATAGAGCGAGGGATTGTGACGGCGGTGGAGTCAGGGTTCTCCGGGATGGGTTCGAGACGGAAACGTGATTGAGGGCTGATGAGAGGTTGGTGATGATTCTCCATTTACCAACAAATGAGGAGTCTCTCTGTTACCAATATATAAATATGATAAAAAACTTTGTTTTTGACCGGAAAATTCCAAAACAAAAAAAAACAAAGTGAAAAAGAAAAGAGAGAGAAGTGTTGTTGATTGGTGTTTTTGGATTAGCAAGTTTTTTTTTTTTTTAATAGGAGTTTTTACGAAAAAGGTAACCTATGCCACGTAGGAAAATACATTATCGAGAGCTTTTTGAAATTATAAAAACGCACATGCGTGTATTAGTTTACAGGAAAATTTCACATCTAATTTTAATTTGAAAATTTAATATTTAATGTTATTTGGTTGAAAATAAAATGTGTAATTTATTAATTTGTTGTTTATTAATACATCGAATATATAAAAATTGTTAAATCGAAGAAACCGTTTAACAAACGATAATCGGATTGACGAAATAACTAAATCGGAATTAATGGAATTACGCTAAACTTAGAGTTTATCAATTTAGGGTAATAGTAAAGGACAATGCAGTCTTTGGATAACTCCAAATTACCCATGTGTTTAGGGATTAGTGATTTCGTCAACCTGTGTTTAGTGATTCCGTCAATCCGGTTAAGCGCTTTATTCGATTCAACGATTTTTATATACTTAATGTATTAATAGACCAAAATTTAATAAACTATACATTTTATTTTCAATCAAATAACATTGGGTATTAAACTTACAAATTAAAATTAGATGAAGAATTTTTATAGAATTTTCCCATTAGTTTAGGCAAGTACGCTCACACATTTGTGATATTTTTATGGATTCAAGTATTCAACTAGTGACCCTTTTAAGTTTTACCCAATGACGGTAAAAAAGATCGATACAAATTCCAGGGAATTTCGTAAAAAAGAAAAATAATAAAATGTTTATCTAAAATGTTAGCAAAACAGAACGTTTATTTTTAACTATATTGATTATCTTACAGTAAGATTTTAGATAAACATTTTATTTACTGCAGAATAGGTTGACTTTGAGGTTACCTATATGAGCCAATGAGTTTATGATATATTATTAATTAATTAGAAGAGTTGGATTCGTGAAATTAATCTATACTATTAATTGGGAAGGACAACTTGAAGCCAAACACCCGCTAATTGAAAAAAAAAATTTCATGAAATATATTCCAGTTGCCAAACAGAATTATTGACAGCAAAAAAAAACAAAAAAACAAAAACAATCTATATTTATGGAAATCATAATAATCTTTTACCATAAAAAGTGGACAATTAAATTCAAAATTAAATATATGTAAATCTATTTTGAATATACATAAACATATTTAATATTAATTTAATATTTTAATATAATTTCGAAATTAATAGTATAGATATAGAATCAAATCTAATAAAACAAAATCATCATATATCTAAAAAACAAAGATAACATTTTTTTAGATTAATAAAAAGATAAAAAAATATGTTAGCATATGAAATAATCAACTAATCAAATTCTACATAGTATATATACATAACTGATCATATCATCAAATTTAAAAAAATTATATAATTTTTAAATATAAATAAAAATTAAACAAATCAATAATTAAATATTTGTTTGCTAAAATCATGCGAATAAACATTTTAGATCACATAAATTTCTTATTTTCACATTAAAAAATATTCATATTCAAAAAGCAATCTAGAAATTTTAGCACAAAAGATATCTACAAAATGTATCATTAATTCAATTAGTTAATGATTTTTTATTTGGTCAAACAGTTAGCTTATGATTACTCTAAGGGGGAGTTATTGGGAGACTGATTTTAAAAGAGTTTGTGGATTTCAAAAGTTTAGAGATTTTAAGATTCTCAAAAAGATTTGTTGATTCTAAAATAATGTTTACCCAGATTTTTAGAGTTTAATAGATTCTTCATATGATAGACTCTACAAATCCTTATGATAATTGCAGTATTTTGAAAGTTGTTTTTAATGACTAAATATGTAAGGAATCATAAAACCAATAACACTAGAATTTGATAGAATTGGAAAATCAATAAATACTCAACTTTTTGAATAACAAAGGATTTTAAATAGAATTACAAAATACATACACCAATAACAAGAGATTTTATTAAGAATCTAAGAATCCGTACACCAATAACAATAGAATTTTAAACTCTAAAAATCTTTAAAAGTCATTTTCCCAATAACTCCCCCTAAACTTCTTCTTTCTTATTAATTTCACACAATCTTAACAAAATAAATCTTCATCCATTGGCAATTTGCATATCATTACTATTATCAAATATTAAATAATTGTTTTATCAAATCATTAACAACATTTTGAGATTATAAACATATAGAATTTCTATTAAGATTAAAACTAAATAACAAGTGGATATATCACATTTAAATGGTTTTAACGACTTATTACCAATTTTTAAATAATAAATGGATTATATTTTATGATTTAATCTAATTGAAAACAAATAAAATGTAA